GCTGGTGCTTGGGTTGGTGTTGATGACGACGATGGTGGCAATGCTGAAGATTGGGATGGGGATGACGATGATGACGATACTGGCGTGGACGATGATGGTGTTGACGATGAGGGTGAGGCGCCCTTAGGAGGCGCCTTGGCGCTTGTTGGCGTGCTTATTGGCGCGCTTAACGGCGCTACTTTCCCTACCTCCTTTCCTTTACCTTTGTCAGACGAAGCTTGTATTTCGGGAGAGATTATCTCCTCCTCTACTGTGGCTTGCTTAGATGCAGGTCTCGGGCGCGCGTGCATTTCGCTGGGTATTTCTACACCGTCGAAGCGCACATTTTTACCTTTGGCATTGCGCTTCTGGTCGCGCCTTGCAGCTACATAGGCTATCGCTTCAGTCATGAGATCCACCGTCTCGTCGTCCTCATCGAGTTCCGTTTGCGTGACTGTGTGCACAAACGCAGATGAGCCTACTTCAATTACCGCGTCGATCTCGTCAGACGCGCGATAGAATAGTCCCGCTGTCGCGCCTGTACTGGTGGTCGTATCCGGTGTCGCGCGACTTGCGTGATGTCGATCTAGTCATTCCTTGAGTAATCCTCGGCCTGGAATCCAGTCGCCATTTGGCAAGACAAGCTTGTGCATCTCTTCGCTAACCTTACATTTACCCGCATCAATATACCTTTGTTTCTCCGCGCAACGAGGGTAGTAATGTTCGAGACTGCCGCAAAAGGCGCAGTCATTGAACATTGGCGCTTCGCACTTATATTCGCGCTTGGTTACTGTACCTTGCGCGGGTGATTGCGCTGATGTGGTAGCTGTGACTAAGTTAGTGAATGACGTTGCCATAGGCGCGCTAGGCGTCGCGCTAGCTGCAGGCGCATTTGCAGGCAGAACGAAATGTCCAGCTGTAAAGACGTCCATGAACGGGTATGGATCCTGCGGGTAGTGATCAGGAAATTTGATCATGAGGCGTGTGCGTATTAGCACCTGAGTATCCTTGGGAATCCCTTCCATGAATATGCGATCGCGCTCGGCTTTACCAATGCGATCTTCTGCCAATAGCAGTTGCATGACCTTCTTGAATGCGCGAAGGTAGTTGCTTAACTCCTGGTACGAGGGCATCGTCTTGTTCGCGTATTCGCGCGCGATGGCTTGTAGATCCGAAAGCGCGTAGCGCCTTTTGCCATCCCATCCGGGATACATTACCTTGACTTCTTTCATGAACGCGTTGTAATCGCTTACTTGCGCCTCCGGCATTCCACCCCATAATTCTCGGTCATCACGCTCAAGGTAGCAGATGATACCCTTAATGCGATCGAGACCTTGTAGACCTATGTCGTCAGTGAGCTGCTCGTATAGGTCGATAAAGTCGGCGAGGTTGTTGGTTGTGCCATCAAATTTAGGCGCGTCCGTTGTTCCACGGACAGGCATTCTGGTTCTTACTGTGGACATGACGGGCGGTTGGGAAATTGCAGGCGTGGGGATCTTGTGACTGACAGGTGCTTGGCGTGCGTATGTGAAAGGAAGGTTTTATATAATGGTACCGCCTGGAATTGAAAATGGCACGCGCGGTGTTTCTAAGGCTTCTTGCTTGATCTTAGGTATTCCCGTTGTAGGAAGCGTGTTCTCGCACGCGGGGACTACTGGCACGTTAAGTGGAGTGTCGCTAGAGTCGTCAAGCTCGGTCAGCGCGCTTAGCGCTGACAGATTAGAAGTATTAAAAGGAGGTTGATTGGGCGTGTGGAGGAATGCTCCGGGAAGTTGGCTCCTTGGGTTATCTATTGCTTCGAAGCCGTCTGACGACTCTTCCTTGACGGATTCTTCAGGCGAGGGCGTGACTGGCGATATCAGTTGTCTAGGCGCGCGCGCGAAGAGCGCTGGATCTGGTTGCGGAGGTTCTGATATATTGCGCGAGCGACCACGCGTGTGTTGAATGAATAAGGGTCCTGGTATAATGGATTCTACCGCTCTGTCGAATGCGGCGATGGCTTCTTCTCTGGCTATGCGGCGACTGTTGGGTCTGAGGCGCCGACCTTCTATCTCAGAAGTGTCCCTCGCGGTGGGCTCCAGTTGTAGATGAGGAATCTTGACTAGATGTGAAAACACTTAAAACAAAAGGGTGCTCAACAGCAAGACCGGGATATGAGACAACAACTCGACCCAAGGGACAACTACTGAGAGAAGTTCCTCGAAATAAAGTGGAGGGAAACTCTATGAGCTAGGCGGGCGCTAACAGGCGCAAGAAGATAACGCGCGCGAAGGCTTGTGTACGCGAGGCAAAGGCGTGCGAGATGCGCGCGTGAGCGGGAGGTTCGAGAATGCGCACGCGCGAAGCGAAGGCGCGCCTTGAGCGTTAAGGGAAAGGTCCTATTGAGGAGTGAATGCCCAGATGGATGATTGACAGGAGAATAAGATCTTATAACAAGTGAGGAGGTGATCTATACACTTTCCAGTACACAAAGATAAGGGGAAAGTAAGTCCCAGAACCAAAGGAAACCCTTCTGTATTTAAGAATGGAGATGGCGCGCTTCCGAGCACGCTCCCGAACCGAGTAACCATATCAACTCTAATTATAACTAAGTTTAAATAAACTTTCTATAAGTAGCGCAGATGTCGGACCGAAGATTTTATTAGTTCAATGGATAAGATAGAAATAATGCACCAGCGAATCAGTAAGGACATGGGACGGATGGACAGACGATAGCGTGAAGACCTATGAGGAGGCGCGCGAAGCGCGCATATAGCGCATGCGTAGGTAAGGCGCGCCTAAGTGCGCGCGAGTTCGGATAAGGCGCGCGCGAGACTGGTACTTAGGAGTAGAGCTGTAACATATAGGAATGTATGGGTAAAGGCCGTATATTCGGCATTGAGACGCGCGAGTCTCTACAGCAGCCATTTTTGCACTCATCAGTGCAAACTGGCCACCATCTGTGGCACTTTGGATCAATGTAGTCCCAGCTGGTGCAATTATATTTATGGGGTTATATCTCGCCGCCTTTTGTACATGCCTATATGCTTGTACGCTAATTTTTTTAATGCAATTCATATAGCTATCATCACCAGCCTCATCAACCAATACAAACTCGAACACCTCATCTATGTGGGGCCTGGTAGTTTAAATGTACGTAATTTTAAATTCTTGTTATGGTAATGTTTAACGTAAGATTGATGCAGACTCTCAACACAAATGGCCAATTGCTCCTTTTTTTTTGCAACAGTCTATTACCTACCTATGTTGTTGGCTCTCTTGTGCACTCCTCCTGGTCAGCTTTTACGCTGGTGTATGGTATTCATCTCCAGAATCACTTTCCTGGGAGTTAGCATCTACGATATGCATGGGTGTCACTACTCTACTATTCATAGTATTTCATTTCACCTCGCTTCTATAACCTCCTGCTTTTTGTTCACTCTACTGGGTTTCCGCATCTTCTCATCTTGTCCCAACTCCCCCAAGTAGCATCAGCAATAATTTACTTTAGCTCTTTCAGGCGGCCGCTCGTCCGCACCCTTTCAACTCACATGCCAATGTTTTAGTTCATTCCTACATCTTGAACCGCATGAAGGACATCGTTTCCTCCTACAACCATGTCTCCCTGAATTTCGACCTTTCTTCAAATGCGTCTTGGGCTTCAGGACTCCTCTCCATGAACTCTTACGCAGTATATTACGATTCTGGCAATGTATTGCTCCAGGTCGAGGAGAGTGACAAGGAGTATCAAGAGTCAGGCGGGCTTTTTCTCAGTGCACACTGGGACTCTGTCAGTACCGCTCCTGGTGCCACAGATAATGGTATGGGCGTGGTGACGCTGTTGAGCATGGTGAAGTACTTTGCAGGGAATAGGCCCAGCCGGACGGTGGTGTTCAACATCCATAATGGCGAAGAGGACGGCTTGAATGGAACGCATGTGTATGCTGTAATTTTGCCTTTTGCCTTTGCTTTGCACTCACTCATCTCACTGCCAGTTTCATAGAGCATCCGTGGGTCAATACACTGATACCTTCTAGAACCTTGAAGGTGCTGCGGCAAGAGGGTGAACGGTTTAATCAAACTGTACTGTATGACTTTACTGACTGAAATTTTGAAGACGGCCACTACTTTTCCGAACGACTTCTCGCGCTCCTCTGGCGTCCTGGAGCACTTCTCGTCCCCATGCAAACATCATCACTGGCGATGCATTTTCACGTGGTGTTATCCGGGGCCAGGTGAAATTGACGCGGCCCTGCCGCGCCTGCCGCGGTCGTGACGCGCCTGTGATGCGGCACTGACGCGGCATATGTGACGCAGCACTGTAACAAATTCCCATGTACAAATCATGTTTACACAACTTCATATCGCATTCCAAACACTTTGAATCATCATTAAGGATCAACATATGAGTGTCTGCCTGCGTACAGGCTCTATAGTGCTGTATTCACCTCTCACCAAATTTACAGTGCTTGTCCTCTGCATTCATACTACTAGTATGCATCTTGCGCGTCAGTCCTATATTGTTGCATTACCTCTAATTCGTTCATCTATGTTGGTTTTCAGATGCAGTGTCAAATGTTGTCTCACTGCGTCAAGCTTCGACCTCACCCTGCCAAGTTTGATCCACTCTCCATACCCTGCACCAACACGTCGAGCCCCTACCATGGCATGTCAGAAGCCTCGTTTAGGCTGCATCAAGCACTACTCACACCACAACAAGTTCTCCCAAATATCTTCACAGTCTCTGTACTAATATCAACATCCACACTCTATGCCACATCAAGGCCTACTACAGTGCCGCGTCAACCATAGCACATACTGCATCAGCTGCCACGTCACATGCGCATCAGTGCCACGTCAAGCAAGTTGTGCCGCGTCAAACCTCCTCCATGCCGCGTCAAACCTCGTCACTGCCGCGTCACAAGTAGCAGATGCCGCGTCAAACCTCACCACCTCAACTGTCACACTGTCCGTATAACTTAGGTATAACTACTTGGAATGCGGTGGTTCTCCTTGGTGCCATCCTTGCATGGGTGGAAGACATGGCTGGTGCTCGGGGATATGAAGATGAGGAAGAAATTGGAAGGCAAAGGCATCAGGTGCGAGGTGTGCACTATGATGCCATGGACACTGCCGAGAACGGCCACCATGACTTTGAGAACGGCGACCAGCGCGTAGGCGTCATTGAGGAAACTGAGCCGACAGAGATTACACCTCTCATCGCTCAGCATGGCCAACCCACACCATCAGGTGAAGAGCAGAGCGCTAGATTGCCCAGCTTTTAGTTGTTCCGCTGCCCGTTATCCTGATGTCTCATATCGCGTCATTTTGCTCCTTGCGATGAATCAGACGCTCACAGATGGAGCCAGTCCTTCTGGTGGTGAGTGCCCAATGGATTTCGTGTTGCATTGGTCTAGTGAACTGACGTGCCGTGCAGTTTATGCAGTGGTCTCGATGCTGGCATTACTCATCGTCCTTCCCCTTGCACCATTCAGTATGAACATGCATCGCTGGCTGAATGGTATTATTCTCATCATCTTCATCCTACGCGACCCACACTGTGTGGCCTTTGTGTCATTTGCGCATCGGCCCCGTGCAGCAGGTAGTGCCTTCTACGACTACACTTCTCCATATGGCGCAGTCAGACAAGAAGACCGTATCAACCTTCGAGAAAGTATGTTTGGAGAGTACGACTTTCCGAACGTCCAGCCGAAAGGTGGAAAGGTGAAGACTCCCGTTGAAATTGCACAAAATGAAGTAAAGAAGGGCATCTTTGAGGACCTAACCTCGAGACTAGGTCTTTCCTCCCTGTTGGATCTACCTTTTAATAGCTTCATCAAATGGCCAGATGTGTCGAGCACGCATCGTGAAGGCTATTTTGTCTGAACCAGAGCTCCTCGTACCTGACAAATCTTTAAGTGAGTGATTGAACTTAAATATGATGAGCATGAAGTATGATGGCTGTACCTTGTCCAGTCCGCCTTGATATCAATACTCGCCCAATGTTGCTGAATGTCCTTCAGTCACTGCACGGGTCTCTCAGTCCACGCATCATCATGGGTCTCAGGATCCAGGACCCTGTTCTTGACTGGATCTCGCACATTGCTCTAGTGATGGGCGAAACTATCCTGACAGGTGTCAAATATGAAATCATGTCCAAGGATGCGGAACATCACGCAAACGCAAAGGAAGCTGAGCATAAAATGGCAAGCACCACTCAGTCATATCTGCAGTCTGGCCTTGGTCATGGAAAGCCAGTAGTTGACATGAAGAACGTAAACGTATCATACAGCCCACGCAAGGTAACTATTATTCACTGTTTCCGTGTCAATAACAATGTTTCGATCCAGGTGCTCAAAAATATCAATTGGACCATCTGCGCTGGCACCTTCTGGCGCGAATGGTGCATCAACATTTGCATGAAACCGATGCTTTAGGATTTTGATCCGCTATTACAGGTTCCGGGAAAACTACACTTTCGCTTCTGACTGGCGACCATCCCCAGTCTTACACTCAGTGAGGTGATTCTATTCTGGAGTTGTTCTATCAGCCTCAGCACTGTTTATGCCAGGGCCCAGGGACTCGCATCAGAAAAGGTGCGACACCTCCAACCTCCATGTTGAACAACTGCAGGTGAGCATCCCCAAAATCCTCCGGAACAGCACACCATAGGAAAACAAACGGGTATCCATATCCAGCATGCAACTTCGAGGTAGACGATTAACCGGATGAACCAAACACCGGACGTCAGGCCAGCGATCATGAGTGGTGGGAAATGCAATCTGTCAGTGGGCTACGCAGAGGGACTGAGGCACATACTACAGTGACCTATCTCCGTATAATACGAGGGAACGGACGTGCATAATATCCCGTATGATACGGGCCAGCGGACCATGGGCCCATGATAAAAATATTCTCGACTATGACAGATGGGCCGGGAGGCAAATTATTCCTGATGGAGGCGGGTGGGCCCATGCAGGGAATATATAGAGTAGATGAGTGGGCCGATGTAAATGAATATTAGGTAGACGGGTGGGCCGAGGTAGCTGGATATTATGCAGATGGGTGTATTAAGGTAGATGTGTATGAGATAGATGGGTAGGTACTTGTTATCACATTCACGGGTGGGCCCAGACACATATTAAATTAGATGGGTGGGCCGAGGGTATTATAAAATATTGTATTATACGGGTGGGCCCAGACGCATATTAATTAGACCGGTGGGCCGAGGGTGTTGTATGGGATGTTGTATTAGACCGGTGGGCCGAGGGTGGTATACAATATAGATGGGTGGGCCCATGTGTATCATAATTGTAGACATGATGGAGCTGAGGTAGTTGTACATCAACCAAATCAGAGGAGGTAATAAATCAAAGTTACCAAGTTCCCGGAGCATCAGGTGATCTCCTGACATGGCAGTGCGAAGCTTGTGTTGCCCAACGAGACGCCAAGTTCCGGCCACCAGAATTTGAGTCAACTGTACCGAGTTCCGAGTTCCAGGACCCGGAACTCACCACATAAGTTGGTTAATACTTTTTGATGGTGCACAGGTTGTCTTGCAGAATGTGGAATCCGGGGTGCGAAGCTTGTGTTGCCCTACGAGAAGCCAAGTTCCGACCACCAGAATTGGAGTCAACTGTACCGAGTTCCGAGTTCCGAGTTCCGGGACCCGGAACTCAACACATAATTTAGTTAATACTTTCCGTGTTAAATGGCCAACCGAAGTTCAGATGTTTCTAAAGAGAGCAGCAGGTGCTCTCTTGACATGGCCTCTGATGGTGCTTAGGTTGTCTTGCAGAATATGGAATCCGCGGTGCGAAGCTTGTGTTGCCCTACGAGAAGCCAAGTTCTGACCACCAAAATGTGAGTCAACTGTACTCAGAGGAGGTAATAAATCAAAGTTACCGAGTTCCCGGAGCAGCAGGTGATCTCCTGACATGGCTGTGCGAAGCTTGTGTTGCCCTACGAGACTCCAAATTCCGACCACCCAAATATGGGTCAACTGTACCGACCTCCGAGTTCCGGGACCCGGGAGTCGACAAATGAATATCTGATGACCAGCGAGTCAACCTTACTCAGAGGAGGTAATAAATCACAGTTACCGAGTTCCAGGAGCAGCAGGTGATCTCCTGATATGGCAGTACGAAGCTTGTGTTGCCCTATGAGACGCCAAATTCCGACCACTCAAATATGGGTCAACCGTACCGACTTCCGAGTACCGGGACCCGGGAGTCGACAAATGAATATCTGATGACCAGCACACTTCCAATCAGGTAGTATTTCATTGAGCAATGGATAATAATACATCTTTGACAGCAGCCAAAATTATCCATCGCTCCCTTATCTGATCCTCTCTATCTCCACCCCCTATAACACCAAAGTCCGGACATCCAGCATTCAGCGTCTGATTTCCCAAGATTAACATCCAGCATGAACGGTTCTTCCCCTTCCCCTCCTGATAGCATAAACATCTAGCGCACTTGGGCCCTGACTGTGACTTATGAAGCAGGGGAATATACCGAACAGAAATTCAAGGCAGAGAAGACTGGAGGAGGCCCAGTCATACCTTCCCCCAACCTAGACACTGATCTGGTGATGGCGTGCGATCGCTTGGCTGATGTACTCATAAAGGCATCTAAAAATCCCAGTGGGTCTTCCTGCAGATTTGGAAAATTCTATTTATCATTCAAATTCCTGCATGACAGTTCAGATGCAGATGGATATTGCAAGATATAGCAAATTGATCTCCCCGAAGGACACCGGGCATAATGAACATAAAGAGGCGAGGTTGCTTGAGAGGTGTCCTCCTGGCCATGAAGGCAAAAGGTTGGTCGATGAACCTGCAATAATTCTTGATGCATCCGGTGCCATCATTGCATGGTATCTCCCAGACGCCCTGACAGACACCACCCAGGTGTGTAATATACATTGTTACTCGATGGATATCGAATATTAATGGAACCTACAGAAGGAAATCAGGGAGGCCACCTATTTGCTCTCTCCAAGCCTCGAAAAAAGTGTAAGGGCTGATGGCAATTGGCGAACTAATCAAAGGTTGTTCAACCGGGGCTCGGAAGATGTTGGAGCAACTCCCGGATGCATCAATCTATCTCCGGCATGGTTTCAACAGGGACACGAGGTAGGATCTGATGAGATGGTGATTCCGGCAGTCATACTTACCAATCCCAAAGAATGTGTCCGATCCGGAGGTATCTGCATCATTGAAGGGACCTTCCTGCGAGAATATCCTCAAAGCCATTGCAAGGCCAGCAGCCATCGCGTCCGCGGCACTCAGAGTCATGCATCCTGAGCAGTACTGGGCAGGGTTGAGAACCTTGTCAAACCTTGGAAATATAGCAGTAAGCAAGGATCTGCCACAGATGCCGGAGGCCCTGCAGTACTGGGCATCCGTGTTTAACACCCTCTCCATCATTTCCAATCGGGAAACCCCCCATCATCGAGACCACATGTCCATTGCTGAATGCTTCGACATTCTCACCACCGTGGGGGACTATTCTAATGCTCGGATGACAATGCCAAACCTTCAGCTGGAGTTCAAGTACAATTCCGGCTGTATGATTGCGTTTTCCGGAAAGATTGTGAGACATGGAGTGTATGATGTGGAAGGGGATCGGATTGCTTGGGCATGGTATATGAGGGATGCTGTTCATATTTATGCTGGTGTTCCATCATGTGGATGGGCTAGTGTGGATGGTCCATACAGCTTGTGAAAGATCAAACAAAGAGCAAGCATTGTGACCTATATACATTCCAACAAATGAATACCATGTACCAATTGTGATCCGGACCTCAATACTCAATTTTGAGCATTTCCCAAGTGATATGTGGGACTAAATAATTTGGATGCAAGCCTCGGTATTCAATAATTGGAACTCGGGACTTGACATATGGGAGTCCTGAGTGCCGGGGTACTTAGTCCCGACACCCGGACCTCAGCAAGTGATATTTGAGACTGGGGGAAGATGTATAAATACGCTCGAATTAACATTTGTTATTGCCATACACATTTAACAAAACCCTGAACCCCGACATTGTGGACTCCGGACTCAACACTGTTCTGAATACCGAGTTCCGGACGCCCAGGTCCCGAGTCCCGAATTTCGGAGGTCGGGGCTCGGAGACCCGGAGCTCGGCAACTGTGTTGGGTGTCAGGGTATCCAGACCATTGGAGATAGCATATGTCAGTATTTTGCGTTTCATGGTTTATGTTGGGTGAATATGGAATTGGGGATCAGGGACTCGGTATTCAGAACAGTGTCAAGTCCCAGGTCACGAGCTCCGAGTCCCGAGTACCGAACCCCGAGTCCCAAGTCCCGAATTTCGGAGGTCGGGGCTCGGAGACCCGGAGCTCGGCAACTGTGTTGGGTGTCAGGGTATCCAGACCATTGGAGATAGCATGTGTGAGTATTTTGCGTTTCATGGTTTATGTTGGGTGAATATGGAATTGGGGATCAGGGACTCGGTATTCAGAACAGTGTCAAGTCCCAGGTCACGACCTCCGAGTCCCGAGTGCCGAACCCCGAGTCCCGAGTCCCGAATTTCGGAGGTCGGGGTTCGGTGACCCGGAGCTCGGCAACTGCTGGGTGTGGGTTTCGGGACTCGGGACTCAGAGCTCATGACCTGGGACTCAACACTGTTCTGAATACCGAGTCCCTGATCCCCAATTCCATATTCACCCAACATAAACCATGAAACGCAAAATACTCACACATGCTATCTCCAATGGTCTGGATACCCTGACACCCAACACAGTTGCTGAGCTCCGGGTCTCCGAGCCCCGACCTCCGAAATTCGGGACTCGGGACTCGGGGTTCGGTACTTGGGACTCGGAGCTCGTGACCTGGGACTTGACACTGTTCTGAATACCGAGTCCCTGATCCCCAATTCCATATTCACCCAACATAAACCATGAAACGCAAATACTG